AATTAAATTGTTCATAACTCTGATAATATAATTTCATTCCCCTGTTATATTAATAAATATTATACTCTGATGTTGTATTAAAAGTGATGTAAGAAATGGTTTAGAATAATGTAAGTTTTATTCTCTCATTTGTGATCCTAATGGCAAAAATGTGGATTTTCGGGTTCTCCCCTGGGGTGTGCCCGACGGAACCGAGTAATTTAGTGTTCTCCTTTGGGTGCTTAGGGTCTAATGGAAGACAAGCACTCCTAGGAGGTATTAGATTAGGCGGTTCTACCATAGCCCCGTTGGCCGCGGGACAAATCCTATTACACCCACCAAGACCCGTAACATATCCCTGTCCGGTCTTCATTTTTTCTTTTCGCCATGTATTATGAGAGTAGTAGTAGTAATCGCCTATTGTGAGTAACGGCAGGTTACTCACGCTACCGAAGAACCTAAGCATAGCAGCTACTCAACCTATGTTAGTAGGACTCATAGGTAGATATATCTATGCAGGTAGTTTCAATATAAACACTGTAATGTAAATGCACATCACATATATATACAGTGATCACATATATATACAGTGATCATTCAAAATAAGGGTTATGCACCAGACTTGCCTTGGGCAGGCGCGGTGTCAGCTGTGTCAATCGTCGGTGTCTCCGGGACCTCCTCCCTCACGAGGATCTCCTCCTCGTACTCTTCGACGATCTCCTTGTACTCACGATAGTCTAGGGTCACTATGACGATGAAGCGGTGAGGTAGGAGCTACCACCGACGATCTCCTTGTGCCAGACGGTGCTAGGGGTGTAGCCAATTTGGCTCGAAGCGGTGAGGTAGGAGCTACCCATGATGATGACGGCTCGACCTTAATAACACAACGGTGGGGAGCAAAGCTCCAAATTGGAGCTCGACCAGGCATCAATCAAGACAGGGTGGGGGCGGTGGCAAGTGGACGTGGGGGCGGAGGCGCGGATAAGAGGGGTTGATGAGAGGTGACCCCTCATAGTTGCGGCGTCGGTGCGATTCGACGGCGGCAGGGAGACGAGAACAGAGAGAGAGAGAGAGCAAGGGAGCGGTGGGGGAGGGGCAGCCAGCGACTCAGCAAGGGCGTGCCTTGGTGGGACACGGTTGGCGCGACCGGCGCAGCCCGTGGCCAGGCACTAGCCGACAGACACGCACGCTCGCGACAGGCGTGGCCCGCGCACCGCAGTGCCATCGATGGTGTGGCGACGACGTGCACGGCCACGTGTGGCGGCGTCAACACGGCCAGAGACGCAGCGCGATGTGCGAGCGCGAGAAGACATGACGGCAGCAACAGCAGCCGCGTAGCGACGCGAGACAGCGGCAGCGGCAGTGGGATGGGACGCCCGCACGTCAGGGCGGCACGACGGCTAGGGCGCCGGGCCCGCGTGGCAGCAGCACCACGCGCCTAGGCCGACCTGCCCACGGTGGCCAACCGAGCGCGGCAGAGTGCGTGCGCGTGGCGCGCCTGAGGCATCGACGACGCGTCCCAGAGACACGGTGACCGCACCCACGCGAGGAAACAGGGCGAGAACGTGTTGTGCACGGTTTTTAAAGTAGCGACCACCACTAAACCATCGCTTCTAAACCTAAAGACTTCACTATACTCAAGTTGATGCATGAGGCTACTAAAGCGAGCTAAAACACAGCATTACTCTCTAACCCAATCTCCTTAAATAAATTGCTAAACCTAGCAATGTCCAGCGGTTCACAAACTTGGAATTTTTCTAAGTTCTTGAGTTGAACTCTATTTCAAATTATATTTCTAAGCTATTGGAAATATTAGCTGGCAAAGTTATTTTTCAACCGCAAGTATTTCATCGCCATCTATGAGATTCACACTTCCAACTTTATTTAAGTCCCCTATATAAGTTCTATAGCATTTTTGTTAAATAAAAATTGGTTTACAACCCTAGTTGATAACTATACGAATCGTGGACTAACTTTTCATTTTGCATTTTTATTGATCGTTTTAGTTGAAATGCTTCACCTATTTGTTTCATCACATGCATTACCACATAAGTATGATGCTCATGACGTGTTTTAGTAAGTGATCCGCGGATGCTCACAATGCTTGTTGCCACTGCTACAAAGTACAGACATGCTCCCATGCACACGCCATGGATCTGCTCGTAGTGCTCGATCGCCGCCGCCGCTATATATAGGCGATGCACTCATCGGTCACCGCGGCCTTCAACCGGCGATGTGCTCAAGGGCGAAGCTTGCTAGAAGCTGGTGGGTGCAAATGCACCACCCAAAATTTGTGAAAACAATGGTTTTCTCTAAAAAAAATTCACCATATATGCACCACTTATAGCGCAAGTCTATGCACCCATAAGGCAAGTGCAACACCTTCTAATTTGCTCTAGCTTCGCCACTGGATGTGCTCGCAAGTCCAACCGGCCATCAACTGGCTTTCTTTCCGGTGGTAAATGGTAATGTGGCAAACCGGGTGTATTTTAACTACGCTAACCACTCTTCCCAATAAACTTTTGGAGGTGACCTTGTAAAAAAAATAGGGCCGTATTTTTCTGATAATCAGCCTGTTCGCTGGTTAGTTTCTGGGCTGATAAGCCGACTGGTGCTGGTTTGTTGTGAGAGGAAAACACTGTTGGCTGGCTAATAAGCTCTGGTTGAAACCAACAAGCGAACACGTTGAATGCCTTAATTGGAATTGGAAGAAAAACCATTCTCCCCTTCCACAATTGCAAACTGGCTATAAAGAGTACAGACTAATAACAGGTTCTGCAGCTCTCGGTCATTACAGTCTTTCAGTGTCCTGATTAATTCTCCACAAAGCCATGCACACGCAAGGTTTCTGAATGTCGAGGACACTAGCTACAATTTCAATGGCATGGTTAATTTATTTAGTCCCCTCCCCTATAGACGACACCGTTGAGGTAATTACCTTGTAAGCATCATATGCAAAATATCCTTCTATTGATGAGTGAATCAGTTCATTGAAAGCCTAACGTACATTACGTACCCTGTGCATATAGGGAAATTGATATATAGAGGCATAAATAGAGTCACCATTATAGTGTGTGTGATACGTGTGCGTTTTCCTGAGCCTTGTATGCCATAGTTGATTGATCCTCACATCACTTGAATGGACACGAATGGCATGAGTATTAGCGTGGCACCCAGATGAAATTAACATTTCGTAGGATTAGAGGGCAGCGGGAAATTTTGAGTAGCCATGAAACACATAAGAAGGAAGCTGACTAGTAAAATCTCCAGGAGAAATCTAACTTCTGCAGATCGTGAAGCTAATTAACGCTGCATAGGGACGCATCGATAAATCCGAATGGCCAATTTATACATCTGTGATGACAAAACAGTTTGCCTCTTATGATATATATATATATATATATATATATATATATATATATATATATATAGTTTAGAACTAACTAGTACATACATTGCTTCCCTGTATTATGTTTCCTCTCGCTAGATAGAACGTACAATTGCAAAGAGGTCATACAAATTTGTTAATGTTGTAGGGAAGCAGCTGGGTGATTGTCTTTCAATGTTCTTGATCAATCCGTGATCCGTCACAAAAAGCCGTGAGCAATTTGCTCTTGTTCATGGGAGATGTCTCCGAACGACGAAATTTTCTATGGAAGCAAGTCTTCTAAATTCAGCAAGAGTACTTCATCAATTTCCTGAGATGAACGCAACCAGATCGGCCGAGCAGCGGGTTTATGGGCCGAAGCCCACCCAACGTTTGCAGAGATCGTGCGGGGGACAGGCCTAGCTAGCCCAGCTCAGCCCCACGAGGAGAAAGCAGAGCAAGGGCCTCCATCTCCGGCTCCTGCAGCCCAGCCTCCCCGCACACTGGACCTGTCCTGCCAACACAAGGGAAAAACCAAAAATGAATGCTCTACAATTTGTGTCTCACATTTTTGGCCCACGTGTACATGCTTCAAACCAAGTTGCACATCTGGTATTTATTTATGGGAAAAAATCCACGTTACCTCCCTCAACTTTTCTATAATTATTATAGCGTTAGATCTATGCTTTTCTATAATTAATTTATAGCTGCAGTTTCTATGGTCCATTTATGGTGAAATTTTTATGGTGCACTAATTATTGTATGCATAAACTGCGGTAAAAAAATCATACTCATTGGATCATGTATAACTTAGTTATAGATTTATAAATACTTTTTAACAAGCATACACCTAAATAAATCTATAACTAAGTTATGCATGATCCAATGAGTATGAAATTTTTACTGCAGTTCAATAATACAATGATTGACGCACCATAAAAATTTCACCACAATTGGAACATAGAAACTGCAGCTATGAATTAATTACAGAAAAACATAGATCTAAAGCTACAACAAAAAAAATTGTACTAAAGCATACCATATTATATGTTCATTGTGTAGATCTACTCATGTGGAGTCCAACAAAATTGAATTTTCCATTTTATGATTTTTCTGTAATTTACTATGATTTTTCAAAGATTTAACCGAAATAAATAAAAAAGAAAAAGATAAAACAGCCTTTAAAAACCGCTTATAAAAGGTTAAGGAGGTAAAACGATCCGTTTTAAAAGTTTAGGGAGGTGATTTATCCAGTTTCAGAGTTCAGGGAGGAAAATCAGAAAGTTGAGGTAATGTGGACATTTTGGTTATTTATGGCCCATATGCGTCATCCTAGCCTTTCTGGGTCAGGCCGAATTGATTCTTAGCCCTCCGCACTTCCGTAGACCAATCCCACGTTTCTCTCCGCTCGGCCCGTATCGCGCGCAAGCTCAGATCTGCGACCCGTAGTATATGGGCCAAAGCCCAATATTTGCAGAGATCGTCAGGCGGACACGTTCGGCCCAGCCCAGCCCCACGAGGAGAGAGAGCAGAGCAAACGCCGAGCCAGGCACAGCCAGCCGCCGCCGCCTCCGCCTCCGCCTCCAGCTCCGGCTCCGGCAGCCCAGCCTCCCGCACCCCTCCCGGTCCCGGCGACACAAGGCAAGGGAAAAGGATGGCTCTCCGGCGCAGCGCCGGATCCCTCGCGCTCCGCGCCGCCGCCGCCTACCTCCGCCGACACCGTCCCCATCCTCCTCCCCCACTGGCCCTCGCCGCCCCCGCCCCCACTCCCATACGCCGCCCGCTCGCCCCGCACTGCCGGCACTTCGCCGCTCCGCCAGGTACTCAGGTAGGCACCCCTCTTCGCTGCTGCTGCTGCCTCCATTCATTTCCCCCATCGCTCGTAACCTCGCTGCGAGCGAGCACAGAGATCGTGGGCGGCCTTGTGATGATCTGTTCCGTCCCGTCTCGGTTTTGAAGGTCAATAGGAAGCGAGGCAAGGAGGAGGACGAAGGCCACCGCATGAACAACGCCATCACCGCTCCCTTCGTCAGGCTTGTCACGGATGAAAGCCACAACGTTGTCCCCCGGCATGAAGCCCTCCAGCTTGCGAGCAGGATGGACATGGACTTGGTTGAGGTACACTGTCTTCCATATATGTTTCTCTTGGATTCATGCGTGGTGCGATCGTTTTGCTTGCTCTTCACCTGTTCCTTCTTTTCCCCAACTCCAAGCCCCATATTCTTATGACACTGTTGGAGTAATTTGATCCCTGCAGCTGCAGCCAATTGATATTGCTTAGTAGTACCAAATCCTAGACATTGTGACATTACAGACATGGACGCCGTGTCACTTATAAGTGCCCCCTTCACATAGTAAGCATGTGCTGCTGATGTATCATAAAAGAAATAAAAAAAAAGTTTACTTGTAACAAAGCTAAATTGAACGCATGCCTTTTAGTTTGTTAGCCTTCATGGAGGTTTTCTTTTCTCCCTTTGCCTTTTGATGCGATATGAGATGTTGATGGTTGATGGATATCAGATGAAGGGTATTCTAGCAACACCTCTTTCCTTGTATTTTCTCTGAATGTGCTGCTGTTGTCAACCTTGAAGCTTAACAAGCTTGCTAATTTATTCTGATTATACTTCATCTTCGTGCTCATGGTTACCTTCTTGTGCAGGTCGACAGAAAATCAGACCCTCCTGTATGCAAAATCATGGATTTTCACAAAGAGAAGTATAAGAAAGAAACCAAGGAGAAAGAACGCTTGAAAACCAAGGTATTTTATACTTGCACACAACTTTATCTTTCTTTTTTCAGCCATAGGTATTAGAATCGTACATCAGTACAACAGCACTTTCAATCGTATAGGCATAGAAGTTGTGCAACGAATACAATTGTATTCTCATCAAACCCTACACTCCATTTTATTTGTCTAGCTGTGACCAAACAGTTCATTGTATCTGTTTAAATCCTACAGGTAGCTTGACTCTTGTAGGTTTCACCTTTGTACCAATAGGATCTTTACAAGCAATAGGATAGGTTCAGAATTTTCATGAAAGGCATCTGCTTAGATGGATCACCGTTCACATACTTGTTCATGTCAATAGGATATGTACAAGTTGTTCTGTACTGGGTGTAATCACTAGTGAGGTACCTTTCTGGTTGTTGAGCTAAACCAACCAGATATTTTGGGCTCTCTATTTTAGTCAGCCATATCTAATTTCTGCAGTATTTGGGCCTCCTAATTAGCAATCATTCAAGCTTGGATCTATGCAAAAGAGTGTTAACTATATTATCTCCTACCATAGGTGTCTGTAATTTTGCATGGCTCATATCATATTGTAGACCTATTCTGCTTGTTTTTAAACTTTGGATCTGTGCCTGATTTTTGCAGTCTGCTATCGTCTTGCGTGGAGGGGAGAACAAAGAAGTGCGATTTAAAGGGAAAACTGTGAGTAATTTTCTTTTTCTATTATTTAGGTGATTGCAACCTATCTCGTTGACAATAACAGTTTATCAGGTTTTGATATAGAGTCACATGCAGACTTTATTAGCACCTCGTAACTGGAGTATTGGCTTGTCCAAACTGCTGCAAGCTTATGTTCTGTTTTTCAGATCTATATACCTAATGCCTAGTTGAACTTGTCCCACTTTTCTGAGGCAAATTTTTAAACAGTAACTTTTGAAAACTTCCACCAGTTAGATGCATTGTGATCATTATGAAGACCTTGCATTAATCTTTATTGATAAACATTAGCTTTTCTCTGCAGGAACTAAAAGATTTGATGGTGAAAGCAGATGGGATTACCAGATTAATGGAGCGAGGTTACAGGGTGAAGGTGAGCTTGTCTTCCTTTCAATTATGCAAATACCCATTGACAACCCAATGAATTTCTGTTTTTTTAGTATCAGATCAATACACCTTATATCAAAGGAAAACCTTTGGGTTCTTTTGAATTTCTAATCAATTGTATCATCTTTATGACCTCTTGTTTCCTTTCCCCTTGGATTCAAATAATTAACTTCTGACACCAGAGCAATAGACCTTATATCCTGGGAAACTAAAGGGAAATCTTTGTGCTCTGTTTTAGTTGTTTGTGTCATCATCTATTCTTTTTTCGCTCACTGTGATTCATATAATTGGCCTTTGATTCCAGAACAATAGACCTCACATCCAACAACACCAAAGGAAAAACTTTTGCTTTTGGTTGTTAACAGTTGTTTCATGATGTTTGCTGGACAACCCCAAACAAATTTATGCACGTAAAAACAAGGAAACTAAATAGTATAAAGTGATAATAAAGAGGGGAATTTATGTGAATCTGTCATCAAGTATAGCATAATTTGTTATGTCTTGCTTGGTTCAGCCTCGGGTTTTATGTCCATTCTTTTGTATAGCTTTAGTTGTTTCCTTTTTTTTTATCCATTTTGTGTGGGTGAGGGTGGGATCTGGTATTCCTGATGTAACGCAGAATCCATTCATTATCATCAGAGTAGGATTAGGGCTACACAGACTCTTTCTTAATGGAGTGCAATTGGTGACCTTATATACCTGATGTGGGCGACATTTTTCTGATGCTCTGAATGGCCATGTCTATATCCATTTCCCAGTTGGACTGGGTGTTTTGGATTTAGCCAACTAAATTCTCAGCTGTCTTGTTCAACATATCTGCAATTTTTATTTGTAATCATATGCATATTTTTATCCTAATTTTTCAAATCAAACTCTGAAAATCAAAATGTCTTTCCTGTTTGACAGTGCATGGCCATGCCCTCAGGTAATGAAGGAGAAGATTTAGGAACACCACTATCTCGGTTGTTAGGACTTGTGAGTACTCTGCCCCTTATTGTCTCCCTGTTTCTCATTAACCAAATGCCATCAATTCCATTTTGAGATTAGTTAAGATCATGGTAACATGTTCAAGGCTGCTGTCAGTAAAAGCTCACTTCTTTCAGTAATTCCCATCAATTGAACAGATACAAGATGTGTGCATTGTTGAAAGTGGGCCGCACTTGGACTCGAAGCATGCATATGTTATTGTCAGGCATGTGAAGTTTGCAACAAAGAAAGGTGGGAAGAAAGCTAGCCAGGCCATGGAAGAATCAGGAAAAGGTACCCGCAGTGCTTTCTCCGAGTCACCTGTTGATGGTAGCAATAGCGAAGACAAGACAGTTGGAGATGGTTTAGGAAAACCTGATGATCGTACCATCTCAGATCGTGTTCAGAAAACAGCCACCCATCTCTCTGGAGACTTTGCTGCCCAAAAAGAGGGGCAGGATAGAGAATTTAAAAGGGGGTTCAATAGGTCAAAACCCAACCCAGGGGCTGGGGGAAACAGAATTAATCCTGGCCAGTGGGGACCACAGGCAACTGAACGCGGACTTGGCTACAAGGATGTACCTGGCATGGAAAAGCGAGAGAGTAATGTGCAAGATCAGGGTCCTGTTGAAACCAACAGATACGCTGCTCGGAGGCAGCCAATAAGAGGAGACAACAACCGAGGTTTCAACCAAGGAAGACCCCCTCAAGATGATAGAAGGAATGAAAACGGAGGCCGTTATGACAACCAGAGACCTCTGGAACCGCAGCATAACCGACCACTACCAAGGTTCAACCAAGGTGGATTGCCACAAGATCCAAGGAACGAAAGGAGAGGTCCTTTTCCACTGAATAACAACCAAAGGCAACCAGCAGGTGGTGGTGATCCTAATCGAGCAAGCAAGAGTTTTGGGATCTTCAGTAGTACTGAGAAATCTGGATCATCTGAGCAGAGGAAGTCGGATGGTACTAGTAAGCCTGGAAATACTGACTCGCCTAAAAACTTTGGGATTTTTAGTTCTAGGAAATGAGATAGCCAAGGGTTCTACAGAAGAGGGGGCTGGTCTCTGGATATTTAATTTGGCACAATGGATCAAATCCTAGTTGTAAGGTTCATCAAACCTGGAGACATGGAACGGGCTTTTTGGTGTTGTTATTTAGGCTTGTTTAGTTCTCCCCTAAAATTTACTCTCTATCGCATCGGATGTTAGGACACATGCATAGAGTATTAAATATAGACTAAAAAATAACTAATTGCATAGATTGCGACTAATTTGCAAGACGTATTTTTTAAGTCTAATTAGTTCACGATTTGACAATATGGTGCTACAGTAACCATGTGCTAATGACGGGTTAATTAGGTTTAATAAATTTGTCTCGCAGATTATTGACGGATTCTGTAATTTGTTTTTTTATTAGTATCCGAACACGTCATGCGACACCCCTATGTGACACCCGATGTGATATCTCTAAATTTTACTCTCTGTATTTAAACACCATCTTAGTATAAGGATTCATGGACGATTGGAGGTCCATTCAGCCTCAGCAGATGTGTTGTTTTGGTGACGAGGAAGGGATCGGTGATAGCAAAATTTTGAGAAATACTTTTCTTGAGGGGCTCTTAACTTGTTGACAAGCTAAATTGCTGCCGTTTTCTCGTTGGCAGAATTATTATTTGTATTCGAAATACAGTACAAGCCATAGTTTCTCCCCCATTGTGTAGACAATTGTCATCATAATCATCTGTACAAACAAGCAGAACCCAAATAATATATTTTTGAATAATTATTGTTTGGGGCCTTTACTGAGGTTTCAAGGAGAGCGCTGGTAAGAAACCAATAGTATCTAGAATTTTTTTAATTTTAAACTACATTTGCCATACTTTTTACGCTGAATCATTCTTGAAATAGTAATTTAGAAAAAGTTAAATAATAAAAATAACAAAAATCCTAAATCCTAGTATAGGATGGCTTGGGACTTGGGAGCCTCATCAACATTTGTTGGCTCTTGGCAGGAGGCGCGCGATAGACGGAGGACGCGCTCAGAGGCCCACTACCATATGGTTAGTACATGAGGCCCAGTGAGCCTGGCCCGGGACACCTCTGCTTTTTCTTTCTCCTACAAAACAAAAAGAATACGGTAGGCAACGCGCTCATAGGCCCACTACCATACTTGAGGCCCAGTGAGCCTGGCCCAGGACACCTAGTATGCCTGGCCCTGGACGCCTATGCTTTTTCCTTCTCCAATAGAATATGACCCGGTCCCGAATTAACAAACTACAGTTTGGGCTACCTAATCTATTTTAGTGGACCATCCCGGTCCAAATTAGCCACGCACCTCGGCCGGTGGCTGATCTGGCACTCCAAGTCCTTGTCCAACAACATGAATAATAAAAAAATAAAATGTGACGGTTTTCGTCATTCAGTCTCCATTCAATTTTCCGAGACAGAATTTTCACAGAAATATTATGTAGTTAGTAGTTACATACATTGCTACATTGCTGAACAATCGCATTGTGCAGCTAGTAGTCTCTCCTCACCGGCGGCCTGTCAAAACTGAAACAGTTCATCCTAGTATGAAATATGATAAAATTTGCTAGATTTTTTAATCGATCTCACCAAATAGCAATGCCTCCGCAGTCTGTAAAGCGTGATGGGCCCGCAAATTTAGGCCTGCAAAGCGCGATGGCCCACGAATGCTGTTCAGTCCGCGAAGTTCCACCAGGGCTGTGAAGCATCTCGTGCGAAACCTGCGAACGGTGCAACCTCGGTCCGCGACGCGAAGGTCAGGCTGCCCATGGTCGTGTCATCCATATACCATACCAAAACACAACCTTTTGTGTTGCTCAAAAAAACCAAAACACAACCTTTGTTTGTGCGTCCAATAAATTTATCTTCTCATTGAGAAAACACTTATAATGATCACAATTGTTGCAGGCTCTTACCCACTCCGGTGAGTTCTCTCACTCACAATTTCAATTATAATAACCCTTGGACAGTATCTTATCAACTCTACGTGCTTAACCTTTGTGACATGATGACTAGTGTTGACCAAATGCGTTCTTCCAATACCGTCACACATTATGTTTAAATTCTATGTCGTGGCACTCACACGTTGTGTTGGCTCTTACGGTGTCCTTGTGTAGGACTAGGCGTGTGATGCTTATTAGCGTGTGAGCCACTAAATGAGTGTCATCACAACGTGGACTAAGTTGCCGGTAAGCAACCGAACCACGAGATAAATTTTGGTGTCATCTTGGTATTCGTAATTAATTGATTTATCTCTTGCCCGGTTCGGTATACCTCACTATCACCCTTGCATTACTTTCATTGTTTCACTTGTGTTAGTAGTAGTGCTTGTTTGTCTTGCTAGTTAAATAGAGAAGTAACTAGTTGTAGCTAGTTGTAATTAGTTGTTCATCTTCCTAGTTCACTATTGGTAGAATTGGAAGACATAGCCTAGTAGATTGTGTGATATACATTTAGAAATCATAGCAACTAGAATCGGTAGGTGGCTTGCCTAGCGCTCTTATAGAGCTAGAGTAAAATTGCTTATCGCCTTAATTATGTCTAACACTTTCCTTTAGTACTTCGTAGAATTTTTAATTAGGCTATTCATGTGGCAGAACCGCCCGAAATAACACACTTTCGGAGGCGCTTATCTTCCACTAGACACTAAGCATCTCGAAAGTGGGTTACTTCTAGCGGTTCCCTCGAGCACACCCCAAGGGAGAACTCGAACCATCCATGTTTTACAGCCAGGATCCAATAATCAGAACGAGTTTACAATACTTAGTCAATTTCATACAACAGTAGTCTTTAGAAATAAATTATTACAATGCCAAGTTCAGAGTGCGAAATTTAAATAGCGAAATTTAAATAAACATCTAACGATAAGATACAAGGATCCATCTGTGCCCACCAGAAGAATCCTCCACACAAAGCCACTCCTCAAGCTGCACCTGCAATAGGGGTAAATAAACCCTTAGTACACAACGTACTCGCAAGATTTACTCGACTAGTGAGAATAATTTCCCGACTCCAAAGGATATGTTAGGCTTTATGGTTTGTTGGGTTTCTTTTGTTTGCGAAAAAGCATTTTAGTAGTGAATCCTTATGTAAGTGTTTTATTAACAGTCATGATTAGTTCATTAACTAACCATTCTATGTAAGCACATGTTCTACTTTCAAGTAAGAGTTGAGCAATCAGATCCATTTATCATATTTCATCTTTCAGTTCTTACTACGGTGCTAAACCATAGCCAAGTCGTACTGTATCACACGGCGATTCGTGAACCAATGTATCCCAGCTGGGTACCCCGAAACACACGTCCCGCTCATACCCCAGGCACAAGCAAGACCAACCCACCACTCTCCTGTCAAGGGGTCTAGGTCCCCGTCCAAACTTAGACTCCAAGCCCCCACACCTGAGTTCCGGACTCAGTGCGGTGCTTAGACCTCCACCATCCCCGCCTCCAATCAGTCGGTCCGAAAAGAGCCGGAACCCATGATAAGAGAGCAACGAGCCTTCCCGCTCCCATAAGCAAGTATGTGCTCAGGATAATAAGTCTATGACCTGACTACCGCCCACAGCAATGGACGATCCTTAACCGACACGGACAGGGAAATAGTGTAACCAAGCCATGCCCCGTTGGCCGTGGGACACGACCTGTTACACCCACCAATACCCATACCATATCCCTATCCGGTCTCCATTTTCTTTTTTCACCATTTTATTAAGAGAGTGATAATAATAATCACCTATTGTGAGTAACGACAGGTTACTCATGCTACCGAAGATCCTAAGCATAGCAGCTACTCGACCTATACTAGTAGGACTCATAGGTAAAAGTATCTATGCATGTAGTTCTAATATAACTCCTGTAACGTAGATGCATATCTCATATATATACAGTGATTATTCAAAATAAAGGGTTATGCACCAGGGCTTGCCTTGGGCAAGCGGGTTGTCAGCTATGTCAGTCATCGATGGTTCCGAGGCTTCCTCCTGTACGAAGACCTCCTCCTCGTACTCCTCAATCATCTCCTCGTACTCCTGCTCTCTGGCGGTCACAAACTCCACCAACGCGTTCTCTACATGCATGCAATAATGATGCAACACTTAGTATTTTAGCAACAGCAGCTCTTAACTAAGAATACATCTACTAAGCTAGCTCTAATGGCTAAAATACTAACTACCTATCGTTTCTACCAAACAGGTATGGATTCATCTAACAAGTACTAACTTAGCAACTAAAATGTAGTCTTACTCTTATTAGCAATTTAACTTATATTACAACAAGGAGCACCTAACTACCCTAGTGCTTAGCCTATTCTAGGGCTACAAAAATTACATGGAGCACATAATAATACAATGAAGCTACTATAAAATTTTCAAAGCTAAAGCTATCACCATTTTGCCACAAAAATTCCTACAATTATTAATAGAAATAATACTAAGCTTCTCAACTATTTTAATGCTCCTTAGCAACCACATTGATATGTATGAACTAACTATACTAACAGGTAGACAATGTTTTTAGGAGCCTAACAAAATTAGTTTCCTAATTTTTTGATATCTATATTATTTTATATTAATTACCAAAGTTCATCTCAGAATTAAAATGAAAAGCTATTTCTATTTTCCAAAAAATAAAACAATTTCGGCCCATCGAGGAGAGCCCGCACACGCTGGCACTTTTGCAGAAACGTCCTCGCGTTATCAGACAATAGCGCGAACACTACACGTACTATTTCTATAGACAGCGACTTTGCAATAGAACCCTCGGATCTTTTCACCTTCGCACCGGAGAGGTCCCCGAGACGCCCCGCGCTTGCCGGTGCGGTGGGCGGTGGCACTAGGCGGTACGCCGACCACTCGAGGCTCGCACCGACCCAAATAACAAGTCGAACCCTATCTACGACCCTAACGCCTATCCTAAGCGGCGATACGGGGGAACGGGGCGCACTGGAGCGAGCTGCCACCGCGCGCGGGCGCCCACAACAGCGGCGCGGTCATCCCGATGAGCTAC